ACGAAGCTTAATAACCTTATTAGGGATTTTGATTGGTCCGCTCTGTACTTGTGCACTGACGTTATGAAAGGCACAAACATTTTTTACAATGTACTTGACACATTTTTTGATTCTTGTGTCCCACTTTCTTGTCCGGTTAGATCTGGAAAGCCTCCTTGGTTTACCAGAGTTATCCAGTCTAAAAAATTTAAAATCAAGACTTTATAAAAAATTTCGAGAAGTTGGTTCTTCCTCTTCTCTTTCTCCATATGTAATAGCTCGGTCAAATTTCTCCGTTCTTAACGCTCAATGCTATAAAAACTGCCTATCTCGATGCAGGATACGATTTTCACAGGACCCTAAACAGTTTTACAGCTTCGTAAATAGTAAGCGTAGAACGTCCGCACATCCATCCTCGTTATCTTTTCTCAATATGTCAGCAAACAATGATCAGGCAATTGCCGATCTTTTTGCCAAATTTTTCCAAACAACCTATTCTCATGAAAGCTACTCTGGTCAGCCGTATCCATACAGTTTACCAAGGTCGAATGGCATCTTCAGCCCCTTGTTAAATGAAAGCTCACTGCTTCATGATCTTCGACTAGTTAAGCCGGTGTTTTCACCAGGTCCCGACGGAGTTCCCGGCTGTGTACTTAGGTACTGTGCCGACGCTCTGTGTGGACCCTTGCTTAAACTATTCACCCTATCCATTAACTCTTCATGCTTCCCCCCCATCTGGAAGGAATCTTTTATTATTCCGCTCCATAAGAAAGGTAGCAAGTCTGGTGCAAATAATTATAGAGGTATATCTAAGTTATCCGCTATTCCTAAAATGTTTGAAAAAATTTTAACTCCGCACTTGCAACATCTCTGCAAATCACTTATATCTCCGTCCCAGCACGGATTTATAAGGCGACGATCAATAACCACAAATTTATTAGAGTTTACCTCTTTTATCATTAAAGGCTTTCAAGGTAACTTGCAGACGGATGTCATTTAAACTGCTTTCAGTAAAGCATTCGATTCTGTAAACCATTCCCTTCTAGCACAAAAACTTGACCCTTTAGGGTTTCCGCCTAATCTTTTGAGATGGATTTCTAGCTACCTTCGTTCTCGGTCTCAAAGAGTCCTCTTCAAAAACTCCTTCTCTTCACCTGTTAAGGTTACTTCTGGAGTACCACAGGGCAGCCATCTAGGCCCCCTACTATTCACACTCTTTATTAATGATCTGCCTTCAGTATTAACAAACTCTCGAGTACTCATGTATGCGGATGATGTTAAACTTTGTGTCCAGTATAAGGACATTTCATTTCACTCTCGCTTGCAATCCGATCTCAATAACTTTCAATCATGGTGTTGTGCAAATATGTTACACCTAAATGCCTCGAAATGCAAAGTAATGACATTTCATCGCTCCAGCCCCCTTTTGCCTCCTTATAGCCTCTGCGGTGGTTCTCTTGAGAGAATTACCTTGGTTGATGATCTTGGTGTTAAATTAGACCCAAAGTTAAAGTTTTCTGAACACATTTCTACCATGGTAAATAAGGCCATGGGTGTGCTTGGGTTTATAAAGAGGTGGTCAAAGGACCCCTATATAACGAAGACTCTCTACATCTCGCTTGTTCGTCCGATTTTAGAGTACGGCTCTTGTGTATGGTGCCCCCAGTACAATGTACACCAGGACCGTATAGAATCAGTCCAGAAAAACTTTTTACTTTTTGCTCTGCGTGGCCTTAACTGGGATGCAGGTGTTAGACTGCCATCTTGCTTTGCTTTTAATAAACCTTCCAACCTTAGCTAGTCGTAGAAAAATGCTTGGTGTGATTTTTATGCACAACCTGATCAAGGGTGACGTAGATAGCCCTGACTTGTTGAGCCGCATAAACTTTACGATTCCTATTAGATCTACTAGAAACTTCATTCCTCTTTTCCTTCCGCTTTGTAGATCGAATTATTCCTTGCACGAACCATTTAGGGTACTTTGCTCGGACTTCAATTCCCTCTACCACATAATATCAACTACTAATTCCCTTCCTCTTCTTAAATCACTAATACTAACATACCTTTCCCGTAATTAGTTATATTTCTTAGCTATCTTTGCATGTTTAGCTCTTTGAGTTGTGTTTAGCTCTAATTTTCCTCGAATTTTCGTCTAACACCTATCTTTCCTACATGCTCGCGATCGGTTCGGTAACACGCGTCGCGCGTCATGCGGCAGCGCCCCTCGGTCGGTTGGGCGGGAGGAGGGCTGCGTTTCTGCCTGGGTTCCGCGCGTAACAGGCTTCGGCTTGGTGTCGCATGGGCCACTTGATGGTGCAGTCATTGTATATCAACGTCCAGACATATGTCGCATGAATGTTGCATTATTTATTCGAAATTAATATTCAGTTGTTTCCCCCGCCCCATCCTGCCGGCGACCACGCTACTCATTCTTTTTCTCGCTCGCACACTCAGCCTCGTTCAGTGCGCGAGCAACCCCTAGCGGAGGAGATGTAGAATCTAAATGGTACATCTATAATCTACATGTTAGATGTATAATATACATAGTAGATGTGTTATCTACATCTATGTAGAAAAAATGTAAATTTTTTTTTGTTAATTATAAAATTCTAAAAAATCATAACCTCAAAAGTGTATATACTGACTGAGTACGGGTATAAGTAGAGTCGCGTCCCCAGAAGCGTCCCCCACTTTCCTTCTCGTTTTAATTAGATCGCTGGATCAATAGTGCGCGATTCCGAAACAGCGTTAAAATCGGTGTGTGGCGCCGCGGAATGAAATTGAGGAGAAATTCTATCCGTTAATCCATTTGTTTATTCTATATTAAAAATATATTAGCATAAAATGATATACAAACAAACATTTCTTCTAATATTGTTAAGCAAGCTTATAAAAAAACTGTCATAATACTCAAAAAGAGTGTAAAAGGTACGTGAGCTCAAAAGACGAAAATGAAAACAGATAATTTAAAACTGGTTTCGGGAGCTAAGAAATGAAAAAGCATACAATCATGTTTTACACTATACACACATTTGCGTAGCTATGTTGCTGTCGGTCGGCCCGTGTCAAATCATGAGCCGAAAATTACGTTAAAAAAATTAAAATGTTGAATCAAGTTAATTTGTTTTCCATTTTCGGAAAGTTAACAGTTGCGTCAGTTTCTGATTCATGTGCGTCTATTCGAAATATTCGTTTGCTTTTGCTCATTTTTGGGATTTTCTGCCTATCAGCGCAACTATCACCACTAATAACAACAAAAAATTGTAGATCAAAAATCAAATTTTGGCGCTAAAAATGTATGATTGTGCAAAAAGGTGAAAATATACATAAAGTCATTAAATAAAATACTTGAAACTGATTGTATTATTATCATATGAAATTTTTCTGACCCCCTGATGCCATTAAGACACTGCTGGAGACGAACTTCGGTGGTTTTCATAATTTGAAGAAGAACTCCCACAAACTCTACAATGAAATGTCTGAAAATAATATTTAAATATGAGAATCAATTCTTTTTCGTCCATTTTCCTGACGTCTTGCTTAATTCTGTTGATTTTCAAAAATTTGTGTATCTTTCCTTGTCATCAAACACCCAAATCCAAATTCAAGACGCAATGTAAGACGCTTCCAATGTAAACGCCTTTTCTGCTTCATTGCGTCTATGCCGATATCGATAGCAGACGCGCCCAGTGTAAAAAGGCTATTATATAACCGAGACTTTCGTATAATTGATCTTTTTAAATTGTGAGTGATTTTGATTCCGCTGAAAAATCAGAGTGTGTCACCGCGGAATGGAATTGAGGTGATTTTCCAGGGGAAGTGATTTCCGTGGCCTTGTGAAAAAATGTTTAGTCATTTGTAGTTCTACCAGGTGGCATCGCTTCAAAATGCCAGAACTAACAAACCATTTCTACACATTATTGCCATTGCATTTATGTCAAAAACCCGTGTTCGGCTAATTGCAGACCCATGGCAGCACAAATAGAAGCATAGCGATCATTATACCTAAAACAGGTAATTGTAACGAACTAAATTAGCAGTAGTTTGTGAAGATAATCACAAAAACCACATACGTATCGTCTGAACGCGAAAACGAGTCCGATGCGCATCTCAGAAGCCTGAGCTGCAAGGTTTGTATTCGAATATGTTGCCTCCGTAGCTCTTCGATGGCCAACAGTCTCGGTAAAAGCATTTTAATTAAGTTTACCGGAAAATTCAGATGTCTGTTTTTTGTCAGACAACTGCTAGAGTTGCCGAGTACATTTTTTTTTTTGACTCGCAGGATATGGGATTTCTTTTCTACTTTGAAATTATAAAAGTGCAGCTTTGAAAAATCAATTATTTTATATCATAAAAGAAAAAAATAAAAACCAATTTATTTGATATGATAAAATAAAAAAAAAACTGCAAAGTGAACCCTATTCGAATTGAATCTTGAAAGGTGTCAACCCTAGCCTTAGTTCGAATTTTGTTTGTGACAATGCTAAGAAAAATGAAATCGCTCGAAATTCTGTGGCATGGCGGAAATTTTTATGCGGAAATCCTCTGCGCGGATTCCCATTTCACTAGTGATTTCTGTGGCAGCCCTGATAATAAGATAAAAATACAATTATAAAAATAAATTGTTTGTTATATAATTATATGGATTATACATTTTTGTAATTATATATGGAGAAAAGAATTCCATTCCTCTTCAGAAAGTATGATTTTATGCACTTTTAATTTTGTACAGAACCCTTTTTTGTAAGTTAAGCTCAGCTGACCAAGTAGTATAACTGTTTTGTATGTACACCGGGAAGTGTATATTATTTTACTGCGAGGCTTAAATTATTACGGGAATACCCCATTTGTTAATTATAAAATGCATATCGAAAGCAACACTATGAAATGATTACATGTTAAGAGATACGTAGACCAACGCTATTGGTCTGGTCGCACCCAATCAAAACGCTCCAGCGCAAATTTCAAGTGCCTCATTGCCATCTCTTTTTAACACTCAAAGAAAACGCTTGGTTCAGTTTTATATAGCTTGCCGGCATTTAGTAACTCCGCTGGACAAACTTACTTTAGTTGAGTAAGAACATTCACGCGATGTGTTATAGAATTATAATTCTTGCCTTACTGGCAATAGTCGGGTTGATAAATGCACACATATATTTAGAAGAAAAATTTGAAAATGGTATACGCCGGTCGTACTTATTTCGCCTGTGATCCGTTTTCATTCTTTTCGCTTCTTTTTTTTTAGGTAATTGGGATGATACGTGGATTTATAGCAAACATCCTGGTAAGGAATTTGGAAAATTTGTCCACTCTTCCGGTTCATTCTTTAACGATGCTGAATCAGACAAAGGTATGTAATATTTTAAGAGTATCAGTGTAATTATGGTATTTGCATATTGATTATTAATTTGAGGTGCGGTGCTAATATATTTTCATATTAACACGTAGGCATATTTTCATAAAATGTGTTTCTTTGACTATCTAAATATATTCTATATATGTAATTGTGTCCGTTTGCATATTCCAATAGGCATTCAAACTTCGCAGGATGCACGTTTCTACGCAGTTTCCCGGAAATTTGATGCATTTTCCAATGAAGATAAACCGCTTGTTGTTCAATTTTCGGTAAAACACGAACAAAATATTGACTGTGGGGGTGGTTACGTTAAACTCTTTGACTGCTCCCTGGACCAAACAGACATGCACGGCGAGTCACCCTACGAAATTATGTTTGGGCCAGATATATGTGGTCCCGGTACAAAGAAAGTCCACGTCATTTTCAGCTATAAAGGAAAGAATCACTTGATAAACAAAGATGTAAGATGTAAGGATGACGTGTACACTCATTTTTACACGCTTATAGTAAGGCCTGACAACACCTATGAAGTTTTAATTGATAACGAAAAAGTGGAATCTGGTAACTTGGAAGATGACTGGGACTTTTTAGCACCAAAAAAAATTAAAGATCCTAATGCGAAGAAACCGGAGGATTGGGATGATAAGGTATGCATATACAAATTTATAAAACGTAAACCGGCAACATACATATGTTTACATATGTATGCATGTACATTCTGACATGCATATTAATATACTTTTCAAAATTATATTTTAATTTATTGCAAATCAGCCTACAATCCCTGACCCCGACGATAAGAAACCTGAGGATTGGGATAAATCAGAACATATACCAGACCCAGATGCTACAAAACCAGAAGATTGGGATGATGAAATGGATGGTGAATGGGAGCCGCCAATGGTAGATAACCCTGAGTATAAGGGGGAGTGGCAACCAAAACAATTGGATAATCCAAACTACAAAGGGGCTTGGGAGCATCCCGAAATAGATAATCCTGAATATATACCAGATAACAAGCTTTATCTACGCAATGAAATATGCAAATTAGGATTCGATTTATGGCAAGTTAAATCGGGAACAATTTTTGATAATGTCCTCATTACCGATGATATTGAGTTGGCACAAAACACAGCAGCTGATGTAAAAAACACTCAAGCTGGTGAAAAAAAAATGAAAGAGATTCAAGATGAAGTCCAAAGAAAAAAAGATGAAGAAGAGGCGAAAAAGGTCTCGGATAAGGATGACGAGGAGGAAGATGATGATGAAGATGAGAAGGATGAATCTAAGCAAGACAAAGAGCAGAGTGAACATGACGAATTGTAAAAGCATTCTAATAAAATACGTCAAATCTTATTAGGTATTTTTTGTGTATAAAAATTGCTTTAGATTTCAAAAGCATACTAAATCCACAATTACAATTTGTAAGACTTATATTATATTTATAAACACATCTCTATTGTTTTATTTATCAGTAATTTGTATTCAACACATTGGATAGGTAACACATTTTTCGATACTTGCAAACGATACGAGTGTTATAATTTGGGTAACATCTGTGAAGTTTAACCATGGTGTGGCCAAATGTTACTTTCAAAGTAAGGACGGAATGATCCGGGTAATGGTCGTCGGCCACGTGTGTGGGGTTCTTGGGTGGATGTACATGTCCTAAACTGAGGCCAACTTGCTATTATTTTAAATTTAAAAACGTGTGTACAAAGGAAAGTTGAACCGGACATAAATCAAAACACTTTTACTACATTGTAAACGGACATCGAACCAGATTGCTTAGGTGGTCTAAGGAGTAATATAATGTATGTATGCCAAGCTCTTTAAAATTCATTAACAAGACCATCTTAGTGACAAGCACAATAAAAGTGAATTAATGAATGTTTCATTCCACAAATGTATTACTTTCTTTTTTTTAATTTGATCAAGTATATTATATGTTCTTATGAAATTGTATATTCTATTTATATTATAGGGTGAGACTGCCAACAGATGTGTAGATGGTAGAGTTCTGAAAAAATGTTTTTCTGATACTCTCCAGGGTCCAAAATATGTGTTGTTTTTGTTAGTGTGTTGGTTTGCTTTCTCCAGTAAGTAGATATTGGTGGGTTGCGTTACTGTGTCCGATTCGAAGCCTACAAATATAAGACATTCGATCGAGGACAACTGCTTGCGTAACGAAATTTTTCGTGGTTAGGATTAACAAGCTTATATTTGTGTTGAAAAGATGTCGACCTGGCAATCCGTTCAGAGAAAATTGGCTTGGGGGGAGAGTAGCGCCAGAGCCCATTCGTATAATATTGAAAAATTCATTCACTTTGGCAAGTTCTATCATTTTTTTACTTAAAATTATGGCATTTTCGGCGGACATAAGTTTAATTTAATTGTGTTTTAATACAATTTTGTTTATTTGTTTGAAAGCTATTATGAATAAGACTACAGATAGTGGTGATCCTTGGGGTATGCCGTTATATATATAGGTTATAATATTCGGAGAACAAATTGTTAATTTTGACTCAGAATAAGCGTCGGGTCATAAAATCCTTAACGATATTGAATACTATTATACCCACCCCCAATTCGGCAACTGTTGAAGAACAGTGTTGACACCCACGCGATCAAACTCTTTTTATACCCGTACTCAAAAAGAGTTAAGGGGTATATTAGATTTGTGGTAAAAGTGGATGTGTGTAACGCAGAGAAGGAAACGTTTCCGACCCCATAATGTATCTATATTCTTGATCAGCATCAATAGCCGAGTCGATATAGCCATTTCTGTTTGTCCGTCTGTCTCGATGACCGCCTAGATCTCAGAGACTATAAGAACTAGGGCAACCAAATTTGGTTTCCAGACTCATGTGATATCACATTTTTATTTCAAAATTTGGCCCGCCTCCTTCCGCTCCACAAAGGACGAAAATCTGTGGCAGGCACAATTTTAAAGATACGATTAAACTAAAAACGCAGTATCGTAGACCCATATCTACCAGATTGCCGAATCTGAATCAGATCGGATCATAATTATAGCCAGAATGAAGAATTTAATTTTCTGTTAATTCCCCCGCCCCCACCAGCCAACGACCACGCTACTCATTCGGGCTTACGACCTTTATTACAGATGGATTTAAATACTCTCAAAAGCCCCATCTTGCCAGAGGCCGGTAAATGCTTTAACATCGGATAAGATATCCGGTCATGGCCGGGTGTTTTGCCTTTATATTTTTGTAGGGCAATTTCTTTTTCGACGCGTATATTCGTTGTCAAAGTTTTTATCTTTTGAATATTCGAACCAGTTTTTAGCAAATTCGTTAGCGATATCCAATGATGTTGTTAGTAGTTGATCCAGGTGATCCTGAGTTTTAATGCATTTCCCCGGCTGGGAGTTAAGTTGAAGGTAAATGTCTAAAGCTTTCTCGCTTTGCTTCTGTTACTTCTCGTTTAAAGAAGGCGTTTGCTCTTTTATATGCCATGATGTTGGCGTCGTACAGCGGGGACTTCGGCCATTTCAGCTTGTTAAAATAATAAGATAAAGATAAATAATAATAATAATAATAATAAATAAGATATCTTCATGAAATAACTGCATTTTAAAGAAAAATCTTTTAAAATATATGTACTATTCAAGAGAACATGGTGCTACAATGTCTAGAAGTTTTACAATAAATTCTCAAAGTTTAACTTTGTTGCCAGTACATATTTTTTTTGTGGATAAAAAAATTTTTAATTTTACAATAGATAATAGTTTTGCATCTATTTTTTTGCGAATAAAATATTTTTAATTTTCCATTTTACAAAAGATAATAATTTTGTATCTATTTTGTACCTTAATTGGATTTTACAGATTTTTGTGCGAGGTTACGACACAAATCGATCTAGACGGGCCTGTTGCGCAAAACGCCGCAAAAACGACCTATATACATTAAGGCAGCGATGCCCAGGCCCATTGCCCTGCGAGCCCTTTTGTTTTTGTAATTGCCCTCAGTATAGGAAACCAATTCTTGTGTGCATACACAGTTTATGCTGTGTACCAGCATACCGAAAGCCCAACACAGGCAAACCACTTTGTGTGTATGCGATCCGTCCAGCAAAAACCGGTTTTGTCTCTTCTCTGATTGGTGTTTTTGTTTGGGAGTATTGGTGAGTGCCCTGCCGTAAGCTGACTTTGGGCATCGCTGCATTAAGGTTATGAAATATTCAAGGACAATTTAAAAAAAAACCGTGAGGAACGTATGAGTCGCTTCTGTGGACGTGACTCTACTTTTATACCCGTGTTCAGTCACAATATAAATTTGTGACCCTATGATTTATGTAAAATTTTAAAATATTTTACATTTGTTTGCTACATCTGTTATCTACTTCTACATATACAATGTCGATTCCACATCTGAAATGTTGATTCTACATACACAATGTAGGTTCTACATCTTCTCCGAAAAGGTTGCACATTGCACAGGGCAGAGTGTGTACGAGCGAGAAAGAGAATGTTAGCGTGGTCTCGTGCTGGAGGAGGTGGGGAAGAAACTGAAAAAGAATTTCTTTATTCTGTCTATAAAATTGATCCGACCTAATTCCTTTTAGGCTATCTGGTAGATATATTCATTTTCTTTTTTAAATACACTTGTAGCCGTGTTTTACATATCACATGAGTCTAAAGCTTTAGCTCTGAGTCTCTGAGAACTAGGCGCTCATCAAGACGGACAGACAGGCAGACGGACGGACAGACAGACATAGCTATATAAACTCGGCTATTGATGCTGATCAAAAATATACATATATACTTTATGGGGTCGGAAACGTTTCCTTCTCTGCGATGCACACATCCACTTTTACCACAAATACAAGGGATATACCCTTAACTCTTCGAGTACGGGTATAACAAATCTCGCGAGAAGCTGGAAGAAGTAATTTTCTACATGATATCAAAGTTGAAAAATATGAGCTGTCGGGCTTTTCCGACCACTTGAATAATTTCCAAAAAAGAAAGTCAACGCGAAATCGTTTAAACTTAACAATGTTGGCTTTATTCTCGCTATGCACTCGGGCTTGATCAGTGAGCGAGCGTTTGATGGGCGTGCATTCGATGTAAGAGCGACAGCTAGCGCAAAGAGCTTGTTGCCAGCGGCTGCTCCGAACAATAAAATTTCATTTCCAACAATCCAATTTTTTTTTATTGCTCAATGTTAACTAAAAATAGATACCAAAATAATAACCATACATGCCATAGTTTACGTCTTATTTGACCTGAAAGATTAAGTATGTGCATAAAAATTGAGCAAATGCTCATATCTCTGAAACTAAAAACCGATTTTCTTAAAGTTTCCATTTTCGAAATCCTTGGAAAATTCTTTATCAGATTCATGTATTTTAAATTATCCAAAGCTCGCACTCAGAAAATGGCTTGCCACCATCTTTTCGGCTGAGGCTCCACTAAAATGGCCTTATCCTGAGCATTCACCTCGATTAGAAGACTTTGTCGTCTACACGTCGAATTGTGTATGGCTGTTCCAGCGGTTTCTTGACAGAGACTACAATTTTGAATACATGAGTGCAGTTTTGTAAGTTCTTGGATAAGAAAACATGGGGCTTCCTATGGTGAACCGTGGGTATTGGCTTGATGGCACGGATATGCTGCGGATGCGGATATGCTTTTTAATGAAACGATGCTGGGCCATTGGATTTTCCGGGCACTTCTGAGTGTAAAACTTATTGGGAAGTCGAATAGTTGTGCCAAAGAGCATTCCTACAGTTGACGCTTGTAGGTCCTCCTTATATGCTGCGCGCAGACCGAGAAATGCAGTTGGAGGAGGAAGGAGTTGGAAGGATGTGTGAGTTGCACATTGGTAAAGCCTTCAGTGTGCAATGCCATCTCTCGACAAGCCCATTTGACTGTGGTTGGTTTGCTGTAGTCCGTACCCTCATAGCACCGATAATTTCTGACAACTGATCGACAGCACTACGAGTGTGCCGGTGGATTTTCGAGCGCTGACATGAAACACATTGACGTGACAAAGCTATATCGTCCCGGCCAGGTCTGACCTGGCCAAATTAATCGTTGTCTCAATAATTATTAATTTTGCCGTTGTACGACCGCTTGGGTGTGCCAAAGCATGTATGTATTGAGTCAAATTGATTTTCGTGCACAGTAATTCAGCTGCTGTTAATTATGGCTATTGTTTGCAGTGCACCGAAATGCGAATTCAGTGACAACATTACCGGCGATTCTTTTCTGAGTTGCTGGCTATGCGACAATTTTTCTAACATAAAATGACCTGGTGTCGGCTAAACGATCTCATCTCTGTCTTGGTCTTGTTTTATGAGGCAGACTCGAACTATAATTCTTAATCTCGTTTGAGCAACTTTTGAGCAAATCTCTAAGGTGGAAAATTCCTCATAATAACAACAACGACCTCTTGCATTCCAAACCGATCGGGACGCCCGCTTCCC